GGGAATCATAATAAATTATACATAATGATATAGACAATTTTTTTTTTTTTTTTAAGAGCGAGACAAGGTTTTTCTCTCTCTAACCCAGGCTGGAGTGCAGTGGTTCTCACTGCAACTTCTAACTCCTCGGCTCAAGTGATTCTCCTGCCTCAGCCTCCTGAGTAGCTGGGGCTACAGCCACATGCCACCACACCTGGCTTATTTTTACTGGTTAGTAGAGATGAGGTCTTGGTATGTTTCCCAGGCTGGTCTTGAATTCCTGTCCTCAAGTGATCCTCCCACCTCAGCCTCCCAAAGTTCTGGGATTACAGGCTTGAGCCACCGTGTCTCGTTGACATTTTAATTTTAATGAGTGAATGAATGTACATTCTTTGGTCAATCTTTTGATATACAAAGGCCTTTAGTTGGGAGTATGGATTCACTCTATATTTCAAGATATCTTTGTTACATAAACTAAACCGCTAAATCAGTGGTCCCCAAACTTTTTGGCACCAGGGGCCAGTTTTGGGGAAGACAATTTTTCCATGGACAGTGCGGGGGTGGGTGTGGTGGATAGTTTTGGGATGAAATTGGTCCACCACAGATCATCAGGGATTATATTCTCATAAAGAATGCACAACCTAGATTCCTTACATGCAAGTTCATAACAGGGTTTGCGCTCCTATGAGAATCTAATGCCATCGCTGATCTGACAGGCAGCAGAGCTCAGGTGGTAATGCTCACTCGCCGGCCCTCACCTCCTGCTGTGCAGCCTGGGGTTTGGGGACCCCTGCCCTAAATCATCATCTGGAATTTCGAGTTTTCCTTACTTTTTTTTTTTTTTTTGAGACGGAGTCTGGCTCTGTTGCCCAAGCTGGAGTGCAGTGGCCGGCTCCGCCTCCTGGGTTTACGCCATTCTCCTGCCTCAGCCTCCCGAGTAGCTGGGACTACAGGCGCCCGCCACCTTGCCCGGCTAGTTTTTTTGTATTTTTTAGTAGAGACGGGGTTTCACCATGTTACCCAGGATGGTCTCGATCTCCTGACCTCGTGATCCGCCCGTCTCGGCCTCCCAAAGTGCTGGGATTACAGGCTTGAGCCACCGTGCCCAGCCGAGTTTTCCTTACTTTTAAAGGAGAGAAAAGGTACATGAAAAGCATTGACTGCAGAATCTCCCTAGATTTGTACAATTTTGTACCCAATCTTTTACATTTATCTTCTCCACACCTAGCTTGGTGGTAATTTTTGTAAGCTATTTGCCTTTATCAAGTTTTTTCAAAGCATTCAGCTCAGCTTTTATAAAAAACTATAACTTTATTTTTGCTTTTATAATTTCTTTTCTTTTTTTTTTTTTTTTTTTGGCACTATCTCGGCTCACTGCAGCTTCTGCCTCCTGGGTTCAAGTGATTCTCCTGCCTCAGCCTCCCAGGTAGCTGGGATTACAGGCATGCACCAGCACGCCCAGCTAATTTTTGTGTTTTTAGTACAGACAGGGTTTTGCCATCATGGCCAGGCTGGTCTCGAACTCCTGACCTCAGGTGATCCGCCCACCTTGGCCTCCCACAGTGCTGGGCTTACAGGTGTGAGCCACCGTGCCTGGCCTATAATTTCATTTTTTAAATGTTTACTTTGTATAATTTCAAAGCCATGCAACTGACAGAACAAACTCAATCATTCGTGGTAAGTATACAAGTAATGCTTATACAAATTGGCAAATCTTGGATTTTTAGTAATCTCAAACTTAGCATGTCAAAACTGAGCTCCTTACCACCCCTGCCTAAACCTACTCTTCCCACAGTCTTCCCTATCTGAGTAAATTACAATTCCATTCTTCCAGATCAAAGGCCAAAAACCTCCTTTCCTCACACCTCACATTCAGTAACCAAAATCCTACCAGTTCTACCTAAAAAGGCAACAAGGAAAAAATATATATTACCAGGTGTTTCTCACTACCTTCACAACTATCACTTTGGCCCAATCCCCATGCCTCATTCTGATTATTGTGGAAGCCTCCTAATTAATTGATCTCCCTGCTTCTTCTCTTGCCTTATTTAGTGTATGTGCAGCACATAAGCTAGAGAGAGTAAACATGTCAGATCATGTCACTATGTTGTTCAAAACCTACCAAAGGCCACCCATGTTAGAGTAAAAACCAAAATCTTTACAATGCTGTACAAAAAGAGGCTGGGCACAGTGGCTCATGCCTATAATCCCTACTCTTTGGGAGGCCGAAGTGGGAGGATGCTTGAGCCCAGGAGTTTGAGACCAATCCAGGCAACATAATAAGACCCTATTTCTACAAAAACTAAAAAATCAGCCAGGTGTGTTGTTGCATGCCTGTAGTCCCAGCTACTCAGAGAAGCAGAGGCAGGAGGATTGCTTGAGCCCAGAAGTTAGAGGCTATGGTGAGCTGTGATTCCACCACTGCACTCCAGCCTGGGTCTCTTAAAAAAAAAAAAAAAAAAAAAAAAGACCAGGGGCGGTGGCTCACGCCTGTGATCCCAGCACTTTAGGAGGCTGAGGTGGGTGGATCACCTGAGGTCAGGAGTTTGAGACCAGCCTGGTCAATATGGTGAAACCCCATCTCTATTAAAAATACAAAAATTAGCCGGGTATGGTGGCAGGCACCTGTAATCCCAGCTATTCAGGAGTGTGAGGAAAGAGAATCGCTTGAACCCAGGAGGCGGAGGTTGCAGTGAGCAGAGATCATGCTACTGCACTCCAGCCTGGACGACAGAGTGAGACTTCTCAAACAAACAAACAAATCCTACATAGTCTGTCTTCTGCTGCTCCCCCACTGCACCTCCTATTACTTCACCCTTCACCTACTTAGCTTCACTCACACAAGCCTCCTGGTTCTTCCTAGAACATGTCAGATAGAATCCTTCTCTGGGCCTTTGTATCTATCCCTGAACCACTCTTCCTCCAAATATTTGCATCTCCAGATATTTACATAGCCTACTGCCTCATTCTCCTCAAGGCTTTTACTCATATGAGGCTTTCCTTAGCCACTCTATCTAAAATTACAACATCTACTCAGCCTGCTTCCAGCATTCTCTACTTCCCTGCTCTGGTTTTATCCATATTACCATATTATATGTCACTAAATACTACATAGTTCATTTATTTGCTTATTGTCTGCCTTCTTTCACTAGAATGTATGTTCCATAATGTCAGGGATTTTTCTTTTATCACTGTTGTATTAGCATCTAGAACTGAATATGTGTTGAATGAATGAATGATGAATTGGTGGGAAAATAAGCAGGCCTTGCATGCTGAGTAGCTATCAGCGTTCGACAGAGAGAACGGAGAGCTTTGTTTAATCTGGTGAATCTGTTGGGTGGAATAAAAAAATAAAAAATTGGAAAGTTTCTACTTATTTATTTATTTATTATGTTTCGAGATAGAGTCTCACTCTGTCGCCCAGGCTGGAGTCCAGTGGCGTGATCTCTGCTCACTGCAACCTCTTCCTCCTGGGTTCAAGCAATTCTCCTGCCTCGGCTTCCCGAGTAGCTGGGACTACAGACGCACGCTACCACACTCAGCTAATTTTTATATTTTTAGTAGAGACGGGGTTTCACCATGTTGGCCAGGCTGGTCTCAAACTCCTGACCTCAGTTGATCCACCTACTTCAGCCTCCCAAAGTGCTGGGATTACAGGTGTGAGCTGCCATGCCCAGCCAACTCACTTCTTTAAATCACAGAAATAAAAATGTAATTATAAATTGATATGTATGGGGCAGGGATAGGTATGTATAGGGAAGAGAAAGGTGAGATGAAAGGTGAGGTGCAAGGTGGGGAGAAAGGTGGGGTGCAAGGAAACCTTCTTCAAGGAAGCAGCATTTAAGAAGAGACCTGGAGGTTATGTTGAAGTTAGGTGAAGGGGAAAGTGGGAGAAAGGATTTCATGCAGGGAACAACTTATGCAAAGGCCCTGCAGCCAGAATGCCCACAGAAAGTTGCATGAACTGAAGGCCAATGTGATGGCATCAGAGAGAGCAAGGGCACAAGCAAGACTACCGAGACCACCTATCACCATCTGTAGTTTGGTACATTTAAATAATTGTAATTATCAATTTTGAACTTTTCTATCATTGAGGAATGAATGGCTGGCTTACCCTCCTTAAAAGAGTTTCCATCCTGAGTAAATAGTGTGGGGATGGGACTGGGGAACAGAGTTATGTTTAAGAGTAGAAGACCTCTTGTGTGTGTGTGTGTGAGAGAGAGAGAGACACATACACAGAGAGAGAGAGAGAGACAAAGAGAGAGAGAGAGGGAGTTTCACTCCTGTTGCTCAGGCTGGAGTGCAATGGCCGGATCTTGGCTCACTGCAACCTCAGCCTCCCAGGTTCAAGTGAAGTGGGTTCTTCTACTTCAGCCTCCCAGGTAGCTGGGATCACAGGCGCATGCCACACGCCCGGCTAATTTTTTGTATTTTTAGTAGAGACAGAGTTTCACCATGTTGGCCAGGTTGGTCACAAACTCCTGACCTCAGGTGATCCACCCACCTCGGCCTCCCAAAGTGCTGGGATTACAGGCATGAGCCACGGTGCCTGGCCTTGTGTTTTTTTTTTTTTTGGAGACGGAGTCTCACTTTGTCACCCAGACTGGAGTGCAGTGGCACGATCTCGGCTCACTGCAACCTTTGCCTCCTGGCTTCAAGTGATTCTCCTGCCTCAGCCTCCTGAGTAACTGAGATTACAGGCGTGTGCCACCACACTCGGCTAATTTTTTGTATTTTTAGTAAAGATGGTCTTTTGCCATGTTGGGCAGGCTGGTGTTGGATTCCCGACCTCAAGTGATCCACCCGCCTCCGTCTCCCAAAGTGCTGCCATTACAGGCATGAGCCACCGCGCCCAGCCCAGAAGGCCTTTTCAACATCCCTGAAATATAACCTGAGCACCGCTGTCTTGGGGCCTGAAGTTGGAAGTGGTTACTTTTATTCTTTGTTTATCTGGATGTCATTTCGATTTTGTTTTCAAGTGCAGTAAAGAATTAAAGATCTCGTCCACCAAAAATGCTCCCTCTGAGTGTGCACTTCGGGTTTTAATATGGGATTGTCTAATGGATTTGACAGGCTGGCGGTCCAAGTTGAAAAAGGTCTGTGGGTGCCTAATAGTCAAAGATGCCTTTATGAAGCTTTAGGAAGACCAGACATGGTTTGCCTTCAATTAACAAAAAGGTGGAATATAAATATATTTGTACTTATATAAATATATTCCTTTTTTTCTTCTCCTCCTCCTCTGCCTTCAATTGACCTCCTCCTTCTCTTCTTTCTTCTTCCTTTTAACTCTCCTTTCAGAGTTAAAGACTGGAGCTAAGAAAAGGGGAGCAATAGACAGATGAAGTGTTTCCGGATCGCTGCCCCACGCTCTTTGTAATAAAGGAAAACGTGGCCAAAGGTCAATGCTTAGGGTAGTAGAAGATAATGTAGTGGCTTGGCTTCTTGACTGGAAACTAGGACGGGTAGAGTAGCTGAGAGAAGTGGGCCCCACAGCAAACGGGTTGCGGGTAGGGGGAGCCAGCTCCAGACCGGTAATGAAGCCCATTTCAGCCTCATTCCTTTCCCGTGGCGGAGGCAGCCTTCCTTCCCCAGGCCTGGCTGGAGGTGGAGGCAAGCCCAAGGTTAGGGGGTCAGCCCGCGCACCTAGGGCCGGGAGACAGACAAATTCTGGCGGAAAGTTGCAGCCACGCTCCCCGTCCCCTGCTTTTCTCCTCGACTCTCCACCCCCCTCCGGGTGATCCGGCGGAGGTGGGGGTTGGGGGAACTGGCCTTGTGTTTTGGAACAGCTGCAGCCGGCGCTGGGCCCGCCTGGAATGCGGGAACAGGCTGCGCACCAGGACTTTTATGGAAACTTGCTGCTGGAGACGGCGGCGGCGGCGGCGGCAGCGGCAGCCAGAGGACTCCCAGCGGCTGGAGCAGAAGTGTAACGGCCAGAGCTCCCAGACCCTTACCCACAGCTAGGCAGGACGCGCACAGTCCCTCCGCGCGAAAAGAAGGACCTTCGCGGGTCACCGGCTCCTGGAGGGTGAGAAGAGTTGGGGAACGTGGGCTAGGGGGAGTGGAGACTGAGGTGTAGGGTCCCCTGGCGGGGGCGGGGGCGGGGGCGGGGGCGGGAGCGGCGGCTGCAGAGAGGCGCTCGGGGTCCGCGGCTTCTGGCGATGCTCCGCTGCAGCACCGGAGTGCGCCGGGCGCCATACAGCTGTGGCTCCGCACTGGCCCCGGCCCGGGCGAACCCGGCCTCCGAGCCGCGTCCTGCGGGCTAGGCGGGGTGCCGAACAGGGGCTGCCCCAGTGTCTGAAAGCCTCAGCCGACCTCGGGCTTCTAGTTGCGATGTCTTTGCCCTGCTCCCCTGCGCCTTGTCGGCTGAGTTTCAGGTGCGTTCCGTACTGTAGGGAGGGAGCCCTCTGTGAGCCGAGTGGGTGCCGGTCCCTCGGCTGAACTCTTGGGGTCCTTAGGGAAGTTCGGTGCCGTCCACCACGTGCCCCCGCCGCGGTCTCCGTCTCTGCCAGCAGTGCCAGTTAAGAAATTCTTTCTGATCGGTCCCTGTGGAAGATGGGAAGAAATACGATTTAACAGCCTATTACTCCCCCAACACCCCCGCATATCCCCCCACTCCTGTCTCCAACGCGTTGTTTTTTTTTTCGTGATTCTCCCCGCGGTGGGATGCTGGGGGTTGGGCAACTAGGGCTGGAAGTTTACGAAGTTTACGTAGTTTACGTGAGTGAAGAGTGTAGTCACCTCTTGAGAATTCCCCTTGCTTATATGCTTTTGAAAAAGCCAAACCATTCCAGCTGTTTGTAAACTGTGAAACGTTCTACAAATGCATTAGCATTGGCATTTATAAAGAAAATGACGAAGTTGAGAGGTTATAGTTGGTTACTGCAATGACTTAGAGATACTCATTTTATAGTTATTAAAGCACAACGTGAACAAAGTTGGCAGAGAGATAACAAGGTAAAAATAGCATAAGGATAAGTCCTAACAAAATGTCCTTGGTAAAGACACAGGTAGAGAAAAGAAGCCATAATAAAGAAATCAGTTCCCTGACCAAAGCAACAGGAACATCATTCATCGTTAAATTTTATTAATGAATTCATGTAGCAGCGGCCCATTGGCCTGCGAGTCACAACATAACTATGTCTTAGGTAATGTGATTAAATAAACTTAAGTATTTATACCATCTTAGTCACATGTTATTGAGTGGATCACATAATTTCCCCTTCTAATATTATCCTTTTACAGGTTAAATTGATGCAGTAAGAAAACTGTCTCGAATTCTTTTGAGTTTGGGGTATTGTTAAGAAAAACTGCATAATTAATCAAATGAGAGAAAGGTTTTTTTGGGGGGAGGTATAATTTGTATAAGTAAACTTTGACTAACCAATGTAGCTGTTTAAATTTCTTCTTCCTTCCAGCAATTAACACCGTATTTTTGCAGATATTTTATATTTTGACTAATACTTCTGAGGGACAATTTAAAGAAAAATGCATGCAATTATGTAGTTTATCTGCAACAATTCCCTCAAAGAATTCTAAGCTAAAACCACAACAAAATTATTTTAAATCCAGTTTTCCTCATTATAGTTATAATGTAATCCAGTTTTAATAGAAGATTTATACTTTAAAATCCATTTTCGATTGAAATGTAATGAATAGCAATTTTTCCTGCTCATCTTAAAATGGAATTTGTGCTATTTTTGAAAATTTGACATGTAAGGCTGATCATTGTCAAAATGTATGTCATCTTGAGATGACTATATTTAGCATCAACAAAGGAATGCATTATCTAGGTTTTTGAACAGTATTTTTCCCCTGAAATTTCACTTGGAGTATTTAGGTTAGGGTTTCATTTTTGAGAAGAATGAAAACTAAATATGCATATTTGGAAGAGATTAATTGGGGATTCAGACTGCTTAGAATACGAGCGGCCTATAATGACATATTTCATTTATTAAAAAAAATACCTATTATCTTTGAAATGCCCTAAAAGACCAAAAAAAAAGGGGGGGGATTATTTAAATATGAGAGTTGTACACACCTAAAAGAAAGAAAATAATGCAGTGAATGTGGAAAAGTATGTAACAGGTAAAAGTCTAAATGTTTTTATAGAAGAGAGGACTTTTAGTATATTTTATAGTTTTATAGGCCACACACACACAGAACATCTTGGTAGTTTATAATATGGAGAGAAAATGATTTATAACATTCCTAACAATTTCACATATTTCTGTTCTTAATCAATCTGTGGTCCATATCACCTGTGTAGTTTCTTTCATGTTCTCTTTCTGGGTTTATAATTGCATAGTTACATATTATATACATTTGAAATGGCTACATTTTCCTTTTCTGTTTAAATATTCAGTGTATAGTTTGGCTTAATTTATAGTAGTTTACTTTCTATATTCTAGGGTGGGTGGATTTGTACCCATAAATCCACCTTAAATTTTAGTTTAATTTGTATTATAATGTTAATACACCATATTATATTTATGGTTAAAAATTATGGAGAATGGAAAAAGGGGCTCTTGTAATCTGACACCCTTACTGTTAGGATTTTGATGTATTTCCTTTTAGTCTTTTCCCCATGCATAGAATTCTTTCTTTTTGCATTGGCATATCTCAATAAAACAACATGTGAAAGCATCCCATGCAGTGTCTGCCATCCAGTAACTGCTCAACAGGTGATTCTTTTTCTTCCTCCTTTATTTCCTTCTTGACATCTCCTCCTTTTTACTCTTAGATTAGAAGACAAGCAGATTGGGGCTCCCTATGCGAGGTTTCGAGGTTGGTGAAATTCACTTCTCACCATCCATCCTGGGCCTCTTCCCTGTCTTTTCTTCCCCTTTGACTCTGCTTCACTCTTTCTGGCCAAAATAGGCCTCCCCTTTGACCCTTTCCATTTCTCAGTGTTGTCTGTTCATTTAGACTAAGGCTATGGCAGTCAAAAAGTCGACAGTCAAAAAGACACCTTTTACTTCCTGATTACCAAGTGTAGGAAAAAAGGTAAAAAAAAAAAAAAAAATCAAAAACCAAAAAGACACTTTTGGGGCTGGGCATGGTGGCTCATGCCTGAATTCCCAGCACTTTGGGAGGCTGAGGCGAGAAGATCCCTTGAGCCCAGGAGTTCGGGGCCAGTCCTGGCAACATAGTGAGACCCACCCCCATCTCTACAAAAAATTTAAAAATTAGCCAGATGTGGTGGTGCATGCCTGTAGTCCCAGCTACCTGGGAGGCTGGGGCGGGAGGATCGCTTGAGCTCAGGAGGCTGAGGCTGCAGTGCACCATGCTTGTACCACTGCACTCCAGCCTAAGTGACAGAGTGAGGCTCTGTGTCAAAAAAAAAAAAAAAAAAAAAGACACTTTTAGCCACAGGCATACTTAAAAATTGGTACAGTTTACATTAAAATATCGATTTACATCCTCTCTTGAAAAATTGGAAAATCTGGGCAAAATCTGGGTTCACTTTTTTAAAGAAATTATTTTTATTTCAATAGCTTTAGGGGTACCAAGTAGTTTTTGGTTACATGGATGAATTGTAAAATAGTGAAGTCTGTCTGGGTTTTTAGTGTACCTGTCAACCAAATAGTGTGTATTGTACCTAAAGGTTCACATTTTTGCATTGGAACAATACACTGGAACTTAATAGTGGCTGCCCCACAGACAGGCAGGTCACATGCTCTCCATTTGACATAGTCTCTGAGATTCCCTGTTGTTTTAAACAAGTCATACACTCATTTACATTACCTGCCAATTATATTACATAACATTACCTTACATTACATTTACATTACCTGACCCTAAATGCTTGAGTATGCAGTCCCCGATCTAAGTATTAGGGCAAGTATATCTAATGCATCATATGATGGAAAATCTGCTGCACTTAGCAATAGTAACTGGGACTTTAAACATTGTAGATATATTTTGGTTAGCAAGCCTCTTAAATAATGTGATCATAGGGGTGGGAGAAGCGGTTAGCATTCATTGACACTAATTATTAGTGTCAATTAGAGCTGGAAGGGACCATATATTGCTAATCAAAACAAATAAAATACTTTCCCTGGCGGGATTTTAGAAAGCATAGGGGATATATTTCTGCTAAAGAAATATTTCCTAGGATCTCATAAATAATGTTTTTTTTTTTTTTTGAGACAGCGACTTGCTCTGTCACCCAGGTTGGAGTGCAGTGGCATGATCATGGCTCACTGCAACCTCTATCTCCTGGGCTCAAGTGATCCTCCTACCTCCGCCTCCTGGGTAGCTAGGACTACAGACATGCATCACCCTGCCTGGCTAATTTTTTTATTTTTTGTAGAGACAGAGCCTCACTATGTTGCCTAGGCTTGTCTCAAACTCATGGTCTCAAGCAATCCTCTTACCTTGGCCTCCCAAAGTGCTTGAATTACAGGTGTGAGCCACCATGCTAGACCTTCTTAAAATTCTACTCCCAGTCCATTTGAGAAGTGTTTAGGAGAGTTTTTGTGACTCCTACAACTTGGCTATAAAGAGGAGTTTACTATTTTTCTTTTGCCTCCCCATCCCACTGACATGTTTGGAGCCAGAAATCCAGGTCTTCCTGTTCCCAACTGTGTCCTTCAATGAAAGACCATCTTCCACTTGCAGAGATAGTGAGGAGGCCCAGACTCCAGTGATTACCACATCAATTTGCTTGGGAACAGAATTCCTGAAGCCTCAGGTTTCTGGTTGTTCATGGTATTTAGTTTAGCATAAACCCACCCCATTTTATTTTTTATTACTTTAGTTAGTGCATCTAGATCATCAGTCTTCCTTTTGTACATAAGAATCATGTATCTTATTTGGGATGATTTTGGATCAGACAGTTTTCCTGTTATCTCTTTGTCATTCATTCGCTACCTCAAATATGAATAGAGCTTGTACTATGTCCTAGGTGATGTGTGAGACACTAAAACTATAGAGAGGAATAGAGCAGTTCTTACCTTTCAGGGGCTCATAGTTTGGTGGATGTACTTCGAAAAGTATCACAACTATCATATAAGGGCAGAGTGTTATTTATACTTATTGCGGAAGGATATCAAGGCAGGTTGAAAGATTCAAAAGATTCTTAATTTTCTTTCTTTTTTTTTTTTTTTTAGACGGAATTTTGCTCTTGCCCAGGCTAGAGTGAAGTGGCACCATCTTGTCTCAGTGCCATCTCCGCCCCCGGGTTCAAGTGATTCTCTTGCCTCTCCCTCCTGAGTAGCTTGGATTATAGGCACTTGCCACCACGCCTGGCTAATTTTTATATTTTTAGTAGAGACAGGGTTTCACTATGCTGGCCAGACTGGTCTTGAACTCCTGACCTCGTGATCTGCCCACCTTGGCCTCCCAAAGTGCTAGGATTACAAGCATGTGCCACCACACCCAGCGTTTTTGTGCTTTTAGTACAGATGAGGTTTCACTATGTTGGCCAGGCTGGTCTCGAACTCCTGAACTCAGCTGATCCACCTGCCTTGGCCTCCCAAAGTGCTAGGATTACAGGTGTGAGCCACCGCACCTGGCGTAAGATGCTTGGTTTTCAGTGAGGAATTGTGTATTGGTAAGAGGGAAATAGATCACTACTTCATCTAGGTGAAATAGGATCTAATTTCTTTTTTTTTCCATAGGATCTAATTTCATATTTTTGAATTTCGATGAGGTTTATGACAGGTTTTATAGTATCATTTTTATTTCATTATTATTATTTTTTGGACGTTTTATAGTATCATTTTAATTTCATTATTATTATTTTTTGGACGTTTTATAGTATCATTTTTATTTCATTATTATTATTTTTTGGACGTTTTATAGTATCATTTTTATTTCATTATTATTATTTTTTGGAGACAGGGTCTCCATCTTTCACCCAGGCTGGAGTGGCATGATCAGGGTTCACTGCAGTCTCTACATCCCAGCTTCAAGCAGTCCTCCCACCTTAGCCTCCCGAGTAGCTGGGACTACATGTGTGCACCACCACACCGGCTAAGTTTTCTATTTTTTGTAGAGATGGGGTTTCGCCATGTTGCCCAGGCCTCACCCTCCTAAAGTGCTGGGATTACAGGCATGAGCCACTGCACCCAGCCTATAGTATAGTTTTTTTTCTTTTTTTTAAGAGATGGAGTCTTGCTCCGTAACCCAGGCTGGAGTGCAGTGGCATGATCTCAGCTAACTGCAGCCTCCGCCTCCTGGGTTCTAGGAATTCTCCTGCCTCAGCCTCCCGAGTAGCTGGGACTACAGGCCCACACCACCACACCTGGCTAATTTTTTGTATTTTAGTAGAGATGGGGTTTCACCATGTTGCCCAGGCTGGTCTCGAACTCCTTAGCTCAGGCAGTCCACCCGCCTCGGCCTCCCAAAGTGCTAGAATTACAGGCGTGAGCCACCGCCTGTGGCCAGCCTATTGTGTGTGTGTGTGTGTGTGTGTGTGTGTGTATATATATATATATTTTTTTTTTTTGAGATGGAGTCTTGCTCTGTCGCCCAGGCTGGAGTGTGCAGTGGTGCGATCTTGGCTCACTGCAAGCTCCGCCTCCTGGGTTCATGCCATTCTCCTGTCTCAGCCTCCTGAGTAGCTGGGACTACAGGTGCCCACCACCACCCCTGGCTAATTGTTTTTGTATTTTTAGTAGAGATGGGGTTGCACCGTGTTAGCTAGGATGATCTTGATCTCCTGATCTCTTGATCCGCCTGCCCTGGCCTCACAAAGTGCTGGGATTACAGGCGTGAGCCACCGTGCCCAGCTGTCTATAGTATAATTTTTAAAGTATAAGGTTGCAACCTTCATTAATTAAATGTAACAAAGTTACATTATACCTAAGTTTATGTTTCCTGTACAAGTGAAAAATGATAAAAATTTAGGCTCATATTTTATGAAGCTCAAAACAATTTTGTTGCTTATTCCAAAGACTGTAAGAATTAGGTTTTAATGTTTACTTATAGCATATAGTTAAGTATTACATTTAAAATCTTCTTAAAAGTCGGCTGGGCACCATGGCTCATGCCTGTAATCCCAGCACTTTGGGGGTCCAAGGCAGGCAGATCTCTTGAGGCCAGGATTTCGAGATCAGCCTGGTCAACATGGCAAAACCCCATCTCTACTAAAAAATACAAAAATTAGCCGGGTGTGGTGGTGCACACCTGTAATCCCAGCTACTTAGGAGGCTGAGGCATGAGAATAACTTGAACCTGGGAAGTGGAGGTTGCAGTGAGCTGAGATAGTGCCATTGCACTCCAGCCTGGGTGACAGAGCAAGACTCCATCTCAAAAAAGAAATCTTAAAAGTTGACAGCCTGGTCGGGCACAGTGGCTCACATCTGTAATCCTAGCACTTTGGAAGGCTGAGGTAGGCAGATCACTTGAGGTCAGGAGCTCGAGACCAGCTTGGCCAACATGGTGAAACCCTGTCTGTACTAAAAAAAATTAGCCGGGTGTGGTGGCATGTGCCTGTAATCCCAGCTATTTGGGAGGCTGAGGCAGGAGAATTGCTTGAAACCAGGAGGCAGAGGTTGCAGTGAGCAGAAATCACGCCACTGCTCTCCAGCCTGGGTGACACAGTGAGACTTTGTCTCAATAAATAAATAAATAAATAAATAAATAAATAAATAAATAAGTTGTCGGCCAAGCACAGTGACTCAGAAACTGAGTTCATTTTCTGACTTAAACATGCCTTTTAATTTAATCTCCAGTTAATGGTAACCCTGTTGACCCATTTGAAACCTTGGGTTCATCCTTTTTTATTTATTTGTTTATTTCTCATCCTCTGACTCTTGCTTGGGTTCATTCTTGACAATATTCCTCTCCTCACCTCTACCCTTCCAAATCAAATTGGCCAAAGCTCTTGCAATAGTGCCCCACTACAGTGTAAGTTTCGTCAAGAAGGCCGGGCACGGTGGCTCACGCCTATAATCCCAGCACTTTGGGAGACAGAGGCAGGTGGAGCTCAAGAGTTCAAGACCAGCCTGGCAAAGATGGTGAAACCCCGTCCCTACTAAAAATACAAAAATTAGCTGGGCGTGGTGGCAGACACCTGTAATCCCAGCTACTCAGAAGGCTG